ACTTGAGAAGGTGGTTGGTACAGGCAGGGGGAGACTGTGTGCGTGCGCGCGCGCGGGGGCGCGCGGCCGGGGAGGGGCTCCGTGGGCAGTGGGAGGGAGGAGTTTGACTGACAACTTCCGCGGGGTCTCGCCAGCCTCTCAATGTTACGGAGCGGGTAGAAGGTGGGAAAGCGTGCCAACTCCCTCAGCCAATCGCAGGGCTAAGCGGCTGGAATGGGATGAGGCGTGGTCTCCTGGGCGGGTTGCGAGTGTCCATAGCTAGGAGTTGAAGCAGAAGAGCAGGGAGTGGCCACGTGACGGGCTGCGGCCACAGCCAATCGCAAGTGAAGACCGTGAGCGGGGGGTGCCATCTGCGTCATAATGAATTCTCCTGGGAGGGAGGGGAGTACCCCTCCACCAGCGGGCACTTTTGCACGCCTGCGCGACAGCTCCAGGCTATAATTGCTTTTCTGTCAGCCTATGAGAAAAGCGGAAAACTAGAAGGGGGCTAGTTCGGAAAGCAAAACAGGGTGTCCCTTCCTTTCCCTTCCCTCTCCTCTCTGCTGGCCAATGAGGTACTGAAGCGACTGGGGAGCTCGAGGGCTTTGGCGCGAAATAGTGCCAGCTGTAACGTCACCGAAGGGGGGCGGAGCAACGATCTGGTGGGCGAGCACCAGAGTGATTGACGGGCGAAAGAGCCCTGGGGAAGGCGAGGAAATAGCTCGTCCAATCTGAGCGAAGAACTGGACTGCTGGGCGGGCCTCGGAGCCTCACTGGCCGCAAACCTGTAATTGGTAGTTGGGGAATAAATTTGTAGCGCTCTGTGGTTTCGGCACTGCAGCTACCTTGCTCTTGCTTGGAGTTTGGGCAATCTAGCATCTACTACTTAAAAGAGCTCTGTAAGTCCCTACCCTTCATAAAGAGGTTTCTCAATCCCAGTTTACTATCACACTAATTTTCACCCCTTCATCAACAGGACTTCAAGTACCCAAGTGTGAGTACAGATTCGCTAGTGGTCCGAGAGTGGTTCACGGATTTGGTGGCTTGCCATAGGCTTTTATTGGGATCTCCTCTTTGGAGACTATGTTTCGGTTTTAAATTTATCAAGGGCGAGGTCTAGTTATCTTAGTTTTTTTGCGCATTGCTTTCCATATGATAATACTTAATAAACAATAGGTGACTTGATCTGTCACCTGTCTCCCATGGTTCTGTGGTTCCAAATCTACAATCCCCTATGGAGAGCTTCACTTTGTCCTTTTGACTTTAAATAATTAACTGTCATAAATTTAAGCAAAGTTACCTGTACTATACGTACAAACGTTTTAAACTTTCTACAGGAAATTGAGTTGTAGACAGAGCTAAATAAACTGTCCTCAAAACATGTGCGCCTTCAGGTTCACTGGGTGGCGAAATTGTACACAATCCTGTCAAAGCTACTCAGCAGCATCTCTGACACCTTTCTCTTTCGAGCTCCAGATAGTGACAAATCTACGCAAACGTTCAAAACCAGTCCCTCCTTCTAATGAGAACGAAATGACCACTGGAGTTCAGAACTTTCAAACTCACTGCCAGATAAGTCTTTTGTTTTTAATGTCTCTTTTTTCAGAGCGCGCGAGAGAGGCTACGGCATCAATCTTCACTCTGGGACTTACTGTCAGCCTCAGCCAGCAAGGATCACAGGGCACACGCTGCCTGGAGCGTACAAAGAGTCTTCAGATTGTGAACGAGGCCCTTCCCATGTGGGTCTTCAATATCGCATAACTTGGTGTTGCCACTGAGCTACCAGCTGGCACCCAGATCTGTCTTTTTAAATGTTACTCTCTTCTGTGCCTTTGAAGACGCAAACTTACCCAAGAGTCCAAACTCAAGACTCCCTTCAGTGCAACATCTTGCGATCTTTCCAGGTGTACATCCCACCATGTGTCTACACAAACTCTATTTAGTTTAAGCACATCATATTACATACTGATCCCCTAAAAGTGACTGTGCTCCTTTGACACTTAGTCTTTGTTATTCTAACATTTTTAAATAATTCACTTTTTTCTCTATCTTGTCTAAACTGCCTCTCTTTAAACTTCAGCTCTACCTTTATCTTTTACAAAGCTGTTCTTGATCATCTTGCTAGAAGGGTGATACCACTTCTTTGTATTCCTATAGCATTTATTATCCACACTACTCACAGGGCCTATTATCACATACTACCTGAGACGGCAGGAAGCTCTTTCTCTCCTGAAAATTGTAAATGCCAAAAGAAGCAAGAACTCAGTTATTTTACCCCACTGAGCGCAGGACAGACATATAGTACATAACGATCTCATATTTAATTTTCAACAGTAGAATTTCTGAATGTGTGGCTATTAGATGTCTGCATCAGAATCTTCTGAGGTGCTTATTAAAATGCATATTCCTGGACCTCATCCCTGACACAGAATCAGAACCTATGGGGAAAGCACTTAGAATCTATTTTTAGTTAGCTCTCTAGGTCTTTTCTGTTGACAAAAATTTGAAAATACTATTCTGTAGTCATCTGAATGTTACTGAATACCTATTGTTACTGTCTAGAAATCAGTGTAGCACTAACCAGCAGTTAGCGTAATGGCTATGTCACTGGACTCCCACGTAGTCAACCGCGGTTTGCGTCCCAGACCCGGTGGTTTAAAACTCACGCCAGGCACGTGTGTGTGCGTGTGTGCCCAAGATCCCGGGAGGAGAGTGGAGAAGGGATTGTGGTGTGCCCATCCCCCCTGGGGGGTGATTTCTCGCTTTCTGTCTCTCTGTCTGGCAAGTGCACGTGCCCTATAGCAAAAATCTCTCTAAATAAATAAATAAATAAATAAATAAATCAGTGTAGCACCATAATAATAAAGATAATTTGCATAAAATAAGGAAAAATAAATAGCAAGCAAAGAGATAAACTAAATTTAAAATTCATACTGTAAAATGACAAATAATAGATGCTAGAAAATAAGTAAGTGGATAGATTAGATAGAAAATAGTTATCAGAAAAAAGTTTGGAGGTCTGGAACCATCAAGATTGTCTGAGCTTCATATAAAATGGCCTTCTGGAGAAGAATCTGGAGCGTAATTTTAAAAGACAATGCAAGCCCACACCTGAAGAAAGGGAAGCATGCAAATATCCACAATGTCAAAATTGTGGTCCATTAATGCAGAGAGGGTGTTCTTTTCAAATCACTGTTGAGATTCTCTAAGGCATTTCTGAGCAGAGTTTTGACTACCAGTATTCTCTTTTCAAAAGAGCCATGTTTCCCAAACTGCTCCAGTAAAACACCAGACAAGTGCTTTATCTACAGAATCAAATAGTGGTATTTTCCAAATTTACAAAATGAAAATAAAATTTCTTATATCCCCTTCAACTATTTGATTCTTACTATGATTTACTGTACTAGAACTGAAATAAAAATATTAGTATCATGGGACCAGCAGTTGGCATAATGGCTGTGTCACTGGACTCCCACGTAGTCAACCGCAGTTCGCATCCCGGACCCGGTGGCTTAAAACTCACGCCTGGCGCGTGTGCATGCATGCCCAGGATCCTGAGAGAATGGAGGAGAAGGGATTGCGGCATGGCCATCCCCCCGGGGGGTGATTTATCGCTTTCTGTCTCTCCGTCTCTCTCTGTCTGGTGAGCACACGCGCCCTATAGCAAAAACCTCTAAAAAAATTAGTATCTAATTTATCATAAAAATGTGGTAATTGTATTGACTTGCTCTTTTTAAAAATACATTCATGCTATTTAAAATTCAAAATGAGTAAAAAGGTAATAGGAAAAGTCTCACTCCCACCCCTATATTCTAATATCCAGTTTCCCCTGCTATCAATTTCTTATATATGTTTCCAGAAAAATATGTTTAATCACTTAAGGCTTAATAAAATCACTTTTCTTTGCCATAGAGTGTGTGTGGTTTCCAGAGAGAAAGAGACAGACAGATACAAAGAGAGGGAAAGTGAGAAATCACTCCCCAGGGAGGATGGCCACATCACAATCCCTTCCCCACATTCTCCTCTCAGGATTTTGGGCACGTATGTACATGCACCCAGCATGAGTTTTAAGCCACCAGGTCTGGGACTCAAACTACAGTTGGTCCTGTGGGAGTCCATCATGTCAAACACTACATCACCTGCTGGCCCCAATAAATTCACATTTTAAGAAGCTACATGATGTAGAGATATTTCATCACCTGAAGAAGTTTGAAAACCACTGCTCTAGGTTTCAGTAAATCTTTCCAGAGCTTGTGCAGGCTTATTCATGTTCATCCATTCATTTTATTCATTCATTCTCTCATGTAACAGATACTCATAAATGCATGCTATACATCAGCAGAATAGGTAAGCTTGGGGCCAGATGGTGATGCAGAAGTAAAACATAATACTCTACAAGGCAATTCCACATGGAAGGTTCCTGGTTAAAGAGACCATCCTGAGTATGCCTGGAACACATGTACCCATGATCAAGGGTTGCCTGAAGCCTGTAGGTGGATCACAGCATCAG